TAATTGGAGGGGTTTCTCTAGGGGCAGAGGTGTGTCTATAATTGGAGGGGTTTCTCTAGGGGCAGAGGTGTGTCTAATTGGAGGGGTTTCTTTTGGGGCAGAGGTGTGTCTAATTGGAGGGGTTTCTTTTGGGGCAGAGGTGTGTCTAATTGGAGGGGTTTCTTTTGGGGCAGAGGTGTGTCTATGGTATAACGATCTTTGTATATAAGGAGAGGACCTTGCTTTGATTTTCACCCATCTAAACTAAATAACATATCTCTTATCAATTCTTGTGTGCATGTCTTTCTTTCAGAGGCATTACAAGCGGCAGTTACCTCAGTAATTGTCCTTCTAGAACAACTTGTACTTTTTCTTCAGATCTATTTGCTTCCATCTTGGTTTTGCGTCAAAATCATGTTTCTCCATTCCAAAAATGTTAGCAAACTCCTCGTCTGTCAGATATTTCTATCAAAACAAAACAATAAAAACATAAAATCTTTCAATGGATCCTAGCTCCTCTTAGTTTTCCCATTACAGACCGTTTGACAGTCCCAACGGGATTAATGAACGCTTTACTTTCAACTAACCTTTTCTTTTGTCTTTTGATTGTTTGTTTTTGTTTCCTTGCCTACCTTGCTCTCATTGGTTTCTTTTGTCTCATTCTATCATATATACACTCCTTTCTACCACTTCTTTCTCTTTTACTCCGACAAAGGACTAGCGTCCGAAACGTCAGTAAGTTTTTTCATCTTTTCACGGTGTAAAATTTACTCTTTTATCATTACTGTTTCATTAGAAACACCGGCGCAGCTCGCACTAGTTTTTAGCTAGTTATATCTTCATATTATGAATAGTGATCGCTAAAAGCCAAGGTCGTAATGTTTTTCCATTTCAGACCACATGTCATTCTCTGGAGATAAGATTCTTCGTTTGAGTTGTATCCATATTCATGTGTCTTCTCATGCGCAACCGTTAAACAAAGAAATGATACTCTAGAGAATGACGTGTGGTCTGAAATGGGAAAACATTACGCCCAAGGTAAAGAAGTCTATTGCAGCATTACCTCTTTGATCTTAATATCGATATCCCTTGGCAAGAGACATGTTGGTCGGGTCAGTTCTTCATAGCTGTAGAACTTTTCTGGTACAAACGTATTTGGATTGTAGTTGATAATTTTTTTCGCTTCCTGAGGATCAACATTCATGAGTATTTTAAAATAATGAACATAAAACCGTAAATAATGTACTGGAAATGTACTGGAAGAGAAAGTCGACTGTTATACCGTTTCAGTGATGCGCATGTTTGAGAATTCTGATATCTTTTCTTCGCCCATTTCTTTCTTTATTTCTTCAAACGTCTTTCCTTTCTGTGGGAAAAATAAAGAACAAGAATGCTATTGACCTAATCCCATCTAGACTTAAAATTTTCCACGCGCCATTTCAGACCACGTGTCACTCTATTGAAGATAAGATTGTTTGTTTGAGTTGTATTCATATTCATGTGTCTTGTCATGTGCAACTGTTAAACAAAGAAATTATACTCTAGGAAATTGCACGTGGTCTGAAATGGAGAAACAGCGCGGATTAAGTCTATTTCAAAGTTGTTCATGGCGCGTGGTCTTCAGGAATTGGTACTTCTCTCCCGTCCTCGATAAACTCAGTATACGTTTTGGAATTAAAATACTCACACTCCATTTGTCAAAGTCCCATGCCTGGAAATGACCAGTGAAGTTGAGTGGTTCGTAGCCTTGTTTGACTTGCAGGATAACAGTGTCATCCAGTGTTCTTCCCGATGTGTCTGACTTGATGTAATCCTTCGGCAGTCAATAATGAAGATTATTATTACTATTATCAATTATTAGTAAATGTAAACAGTACATGGTGTACATGGGAGGGGGGAATGTTGGTGGTAGTCAGAGGGGACGCATCTCATTCCTCTACTCATGCACACTACTCTGATATTTCATAAAATCGTTTGACACTGCAATCTTTCGTTCAAAATAATGTCTAAAATTGTGGACTGGAAAAATGATCACCATTTTAACTGTTTCCATTTAGTAACAATATGATGTACTGTATGTCCTTACCATTGCTGTTCTGATGGATTCTCTCTTCTCATCGTCGTTAGCTCCTTCACCTATCCACACAAACACCTGTAAACAAACAAACAAACATGTCTTTTTTCTCATCCTTACAAACAGTGCACGTGTCGTTCGATTGTAATGTACTTGAACATACTTGATAAAGCAACTTAAAATAATCGTTTGCGCAACTCTTTTGATTTACGTGCGCATCGATACCTTGCATTCGTGACAAGGCGCCGCGCTATACCTTCTATACCTTGCGGTCCTTACCTCATCGTACGTATCAAGAAGCATCACATCATCTTCGATAAGGTCCTGCGATACAAACAAACAGTCTCGTTTACTAATATCATGACATCTTGTTCTTTCTTCCCTAATTCGTTTTAGTTTCCAAGGACTTTCTTTTATCGAAAGATTGCTTCTTGGTTCTTACGTTCATAGGAACCAAAAACTATATACAGTAGCTTTGTTGAATCAGAAACTCTCCAACAGAGTGATTTCACGAACAGCCACATTTAAGGACAGAAATTATGCGATATTTTTGCATGACAATAAATATAATTTTCACAATTAGAAGAAAATATTAATTGCTGTTTGCCATGCCACGACATAGTGCCATAGTACATCGTATAGTTGCCGTGAAACCAAGTTCTATTTCAGTTGTCTTACAAATATTATCCACGTACAATAGATTGCGTGGCTTTGCCGTAATCGTGGCAGTACTTTTTCCGAGTATTTGGTTGGATAAAAAGTGATCTCGCGTGCGCATTGATTGGCTCACAGGTTGAGGTGTGGTCAGCCTTATCACGTGAGGGACCTCGTGTACCGTTTACCGTGTCGTGTCTTATCAAAGTCCAGTACGAAGATCACCTACCTCTTGTGTAAACTCCAATATTTCTTCTACTTTGAAAGCCCCAGAAGCGTTGGAAAACTGGAACAGGCGCGGTGGATAGGATGGTTTCTCTTCCTAAAAAGAAAAAATATATAATACAATTACTCTGAATTTGTCATCTTTAAGGCCTAGGAGGAGAAGGAAATGATACACTCCGTCCATTACTATGTTTATCGTTAAATAACAAAGATAAAGCGCACGCTCTTATTGGTCAATGTTCGTGCTCTATAATTCATCAGGGCACGCAGCCTCGTCTTACGTGCTACCTCACATTTCCTTGGTAACGCGGTATTTGCTGATACCAAATCTTAAATACCTCTAATCTCTTTCCTGTAGAGTACGGCTCTCGTCCACCAATGTCATCCCAGAAACTGTCTGGTTCCTGACCCTCACGAATAACTTCGGGCTCCCTGTGGTAATAAAAATCGAGGAATGAAGACACGCGCGGATACGACTCTTTATAATTCACTCACATCCATAGAAATATCAGAGTAACACTCACCGTCCTGGTGTTAAGAAGTCTATGACAAGTCGACCGATACGTCGCTCAGCTGCGCATGCTCCCTGAAGTGAGAAAGATCAACATGCATCCTCGTAGCCAGACCCCCTTGAGTTTTGATGGCTCGAGGAGCTCTGGGTACGAGGTGGGTGCGATACGGGAAGGGAGAACCTACATAGCACTCAGTTGATCTAATGTATTCAGAAAATCTATTGTATTCTACTGTTGTTCTCTCTATCGTATTGGTTGTATTAGGTGCGATTCATTGTATTTTTATGAATATATGCACATTACATCAACGGCTTGCTACATAGGCTCTCCGGGAATCAATCAAGAGTAGTGTATGAGTAATCCACTTGCTTCTCATGCGACCTCTGGGGTCTCAGGTTTGATTCCTAGACTCTCAGCAACACGTGTGAGTAGAGTTTGTTAGGTCTCTCTCCCTTCCTTGATTCAATTAAAGGTTTTTCTTCGAGTACTACTCCGGTTTTTCTTCCAACCGCAAAACCTAATTAACATGCTAATTTAATCTGAGTTATAGTCCTGTGCTGACTCAGCTCAGCCTAGAGGTTTTCCCAGGGTTCGATAAAATTGAGGGTTTTAAACACGCTGCGTGTTCAGTTGAAAGAAGATTGCGTCTTACCGTGCCTCTCCACATGTAAATCTTCTCTGATGTTTCTAGAATAATGACGTCCCCTGAGTTTAGCGAAGCTGCTCTACGTGGAACCTGCGGGAAACGCAAAATGTTTGTGACCCGAATATGACTAATAACGCGCACTGTAATTGGCTTATTGCATGTCAATTGCGTACCGTAACTGTACCATGTGACCTATACCAATCATACGCATTAAATAGATGCTTCAAGGTAGTTTTAAAATATTATTCAAATTTGAACCGTTACAGCATTGGCTAAATGTTTTGTGTTTGACCAGTGAACTAATGTCTGGAAAATGGTGAATTGATGGTTTTCACAGCCGCCATGTTGGATGAATTTAACAAAAGACCTTTCATTATATCATCCAACATGGCCGACGTGTCTTTTGTTTTTTCACTCCTTTGTTAATGATTGCAAACCAGCAATAATTACTCCTAGACTTCATGTTAGTGCACGCATATTCGTGTGAGCAAAGAATGGCTAGAAATACCATGCGGTTTTGTTTTCAAATCTACCTGTATCGCTCTGGCATTCAGGTCTGTGGTTCCCTTGACGTGGAACATCCTTTTTCCTTCTGAATCATACGTGTCTTCTTCACATCCAGCCCGAAAACCGGCTCCTTTTCCACCCTGTCATCCACAATAATCAATTCAATCAGCACTAATCTTTAGGACTTTTGTCAGTACTGGTAGATACAACGGGGAAGGTAAAATGGGACAAAAGATGAAAGCTAAATTGTTAACCTCGAGAGTACGAAAGGGTTAAGTTACTGAACGTTAGGCAACTGATAGTGTTGGAAAATTACAAGTTCTAAGAAAAAATTGATGAACTTAATTCCATGGATATAGATATAGGATAGGGAGTCTTTTGCTGTGGATTAAGAGCTTCCATTCAAGGAAATAAACTGTGCTACTTACTTCCAGGATAATCAACCGTCCTCTGAAGATTCTGAGGAAGTGTTCGGGTTCTTTATTCTGTACTACGCGAACCTATAGAACAGAAAAAAGTTAGATTGCTTTGACTACCGATAATAACTTTGATACAGACATACCTGCATGGCTATGCCACCCATGTCTTTGTCCATTTTGTCCGCCAGCATGGCGGATGTTGCTTTTTCCTCCACACTGCTTTTCACCCCCTTGCAAAACAAGGAAAAATAAACTAGCAATTTGCAATAGATTTATAATATTAAGAAATTAGTCATTCGTATTAATGTATCTCTGGTTGCCGAAGTAAGATTTGAACCCGAAATGTCTCTCAAAATAACGCCCGCAAATGTCTTCATGATCATTGTACTAAGATTCATTAGATTCATTCAGACAACTGATACCAAGGAATTATAGAGCATATACTTACAGAGCATATACAGAGCAACGTTCCTTACCTGCCAGAAGTAGATGATATGGTTTTCTTTCATATTGGTCTTGTAAGTATAAAGCATGATGTAGCAGTCCCCGCTGAAGAAGATCCCGTGTAACTCGCTGCGTACAGGCTCAATATCATGCTCCTCTACGCGCCAAATCTAAATAAAATCACCATTTAATAAACAGAACGTCGGTCTTGGGATGTGAGAAGTAAAAGCGCGCCTGGAGAGAAAGGAATACAAAAGCACAATGCATGTCTAAGACAGTATTTTGGTCATACTATTCTGCAGTAATTCATTCCTTAGATTCTCGATTCAATCTTGTTCAGGGCTTCCCTTCTCGCCCTTTTTTAAGGCGGCGCTCGAAGGGAAGACTCTTCCATTAACACACCTTTTCTGCGCATGTTTTTGTTACCTTAGAAACACCTGTTCCGTCGTCAGGAAGAATTTCTTTCTTGGGGGTAGCTTTATTTCTTTCGTGTAGCATCGACGCGTCGAACTTGTCATAACTTTGACTTGCTATACATAAAATATATTATCTTAGTGTTTATCTACACCAGGTATTTGTATGAATTCTTGTGCAAACTCAGAAATATAACTGTTTTTTTCAAGATACAAAAAATCGTCGTGGTTTGCTGAATCTCGCAATTATAGTTATAACTGCTCTTACAAAATAGTTCATGAAGAAATACTTTTCACGAGAAGACTTACATGGTACACCTTGGCCTTGATAGCCTCAGAAACAATTGCTTACCGACTCCTTTTTTGAAAACTTTTCCCAGCCCAACTTGTGCATTTTGATCTGACCAGTTGGAGAAGAACTGTTTGAAAATTGGCGTCTCTCCTCCTTCGATGACACGTGTTACTTGAGTCCATTTAGGGTAACCTTTCTGTTCTATGAAGTCCTTTTAAAAGATGATATCAAAGCAGTGTATTTTATAATTGTCATTTTTTCTACAGTTTTGGATGAAATACGAAAAGGAATGTAAGAGAATGTAAAAGTTGTGGTTACCATTCCATTCTTCATGGCGCCGTTCTTCTCGTTCTTCGTACATCCTTTACCAACCCATACGAATACTCCACTGCTGCCACAATCAAGTATGAAACAGTCCTGGTGAAAAGAGTACCAAATAATGATTGAGAGGAGGAGGAGGAGGAGAAGGAGAAGGAGAAGGAGAAGGAAAAACTAATTGTGCTTACATTGGTATCCAAATGACTCTTCTTCAATGGCTTGTTGTCAATTAAGGTCATTTCTAGAGTACCAGAAGCGTCAGAAACCCTAAATTCCAATCAGAAAAAATTTGCAGTTCATCACACATCTTTCTTGATCTTGGTCCAAATACTATGTATTAACAAAATACGGCCCCGGCATTTAATTTCAAACTCTACCAGTACCTGTACAGATTGACACTAAGTTGGCTTGATTTTTCAAACTCCATGTCGTCTCCAGAATCGTCTGCAATCTGACACCGCGAACCAAGTACGGTGAAAAATTTCTCTTCAAGACCATGATCCTTCCCTTCATCTGACAAGAGAAAGAAAATAGAGCTTAAGTTGTGGCACGCTTCCTGTCCCATGGTTTTGTTGCCATGAACTAGCTGCTTTCGACCTGTGCTTTCTTTGGTATCAAGAATTTAATTAATTTTTGTGTTTGTAATGGTTTTGTCTGTAGCTTACCGATGATGTGAAGGGCTGCTTTTCCACCACGTTCTTCGTCTTTTATTCTCGTTGCGACTTCTGTTCCCTGAAACCAAGCATCCATACCTCATATTTTATTTCGTCACAAAACCAAGAAGATTTAAGTGTAAGCCGTGATATTACAAAAGTACTTTTCGACAGCGCGCGCGTGCGCGGAATCGTCGTCGTGAAGAAGCATATGTTTTATTGGACGTTACCATGACATCCCATAAGGCACGTGCCGTGTCATGGAAACGCTTTCATTCAAAACCCTATGATGAAAACCCTATTTTTTGCTATCACACACACCTTCATTTTTTCGATTCTGTTGCATTTCGAACCGTTCCAACAGTAGATGTTCAGGCCATCGTCCAAGATGAACACGTCGCCTTTGTTTAGTGATCTTGCATGCAGCTCTACCTACAAGGAAGATTTACAATGCTACATGACTATGTTATACACTATAAATATGTTCGTCTTCAAGTCATATTGATCTTTAATGTTTCATAGGCCAGTCAGGATATTGGGATCAAAAATTAGGGTCATGATGATAGTCGTATATATATACATACATACGAGAAACGTACAGCACTGACTTCACTACATAGACAGTACGTGAGTGCCCAACAAACTGCCAGATATATGTAACATTCAGGCAATCGTATTCGCGCGATGAAAAATAAGACAACAGCAGTGACAAAAATACGTCCGACTACGAATACTTTGAGGAGAAATATAGCGATGTTAAGAGAGAGAGCAAAGGGGGTTTACTCAGATCTCCTGGATCTTTGTTTGCATAAATTATTTCTGTACGTATACCTGGCAAACCCTGACGTTTCGTTTCCCTTTGACATGGAACAATCTCTTCTCGTACACACCACGCTGCACTTTCCTAAAGCCAGACTCTATCCCGCCTTCGAGATATCTGTGAGAATGAATGAAACAGCAATGGCAAAGATCATTACACAACCAATAGGATGACTTCCCCCAGGGAAGCACGGGTGATGTGCGCACGCGCTGCTAATGCGCTCGTCTCTCACCAATGCGACCCGCGTTCAAGTCCCGCCGGGCTCAGTGTCGTATGTCAGTAGAATTGTTTGTTGGTTCTCTCCTGTGCTTCGAGGGTTTTTCTCCAGGTTCTACACGGTTTTTCCTCCCTCCTCAAAAATCAACTTCCAATTTCTAATTCGATCTATCGGTTACCTTGTAATTGGGTCCTAGAACTGGAAGGCTTTCCGTCCACTTCAGAGTGTAAAGTTGGATAAATTTAAATTCAAATTAATGACAAGTAATTGTAATCGTACCTGATTCCATCCTTAAAGTGCGCAAGAAACTTCCTTGATTCGTGTTCTTGTACCTTGAAAGGTTGTATATCAAAAGGAAAATATTACAAGGGCGGATCCAGGGGGAGGGTCGGGGGGGTCGCGACCCCCCCTATCATTCCTGAGGTCAAATGTGGCTTCCTGTGGTAAAAATGCGACCGGGATTCCTTTGCCCACAACATTTTCCCCTGAGACCCCCCTTCAACAAATCCCTGGATCCGCCCTTGTATTATTATGGTGAACCTTCAAATATGACCATGCAACAAAACCCTTCGAAGCCGACCACCAATATTTTAACCGACCATGTCCTAGTTTCAACAACTGACCACGAATACTTGAACCAAAAACAAGTAATAACATCAATCAATTGCTATGATATCTAAATTATCATCTCCGGCGGGTAAGGTACATACTTCACGGTATTGCACAGGTGCTCCTCCCAGATGATCATCCAGCTCGACTGTCTTGTACGCTGCAACTCCTGCTTCGTCCTTTGATGGACAACAAATAAATAAAACATTAGTAAACACGTTTTACGTAACTAGACTGCGCGAAGACCAGAATGGATCTCTTAGATACGTCTCTATACAAGTACGTCTGATGTAAAAAGCTCTACACTTTCATACGCCCTTCTTTTGGGTGGTTCAATTAGCATTTATCCTCAGACGTCAAAATAATAAACAACTCATAGCAAGACGCAAACTCAGTACAAAAATAAATATTACAAACTACAGTATAAACATACTTGCGATGTTTCTTTACCAAGCCAGAAATGGATATCCCATTCAAAATGTGTGTCCACTAATTTCGTCTGAAAATCAAATAGCAAAATTCAAGACTTTGAATATGTTTTCGGTCATTCGTACTTCACGGAGCATTTTTTTGGACACGTTAGATAAAATCCATTTATTTTCATCTCATTTCAATTTAAGAAGTTTCCTTGAAAATACCGTATATCTTGGAAAAACCTTGAAGCTTAATTTTCGCCGAAAAATAAATTTATTATATGATTGAAAAACACAATAACTTTAAGTTTTCCAGACATGTTTCGGTAGTCCTGCTACCATCATTAGTGTAAAGGTGTTGTCTTCTTCTTGAGAAAATACTTTTTGAATTCCTGCTTCACAAATCTTTTGGCATTGTTGTATAAGATGTTATCCAGTTACGTACCGACAGACATATATAGGAGTCGCCAGAATAAAAGGTGCCGTATGTTTTGGGGTCTTGAGCAACGACTTTCAGTTTCTGAAAATGAGATTTGATGGAAAACATTGTCAGTAAGAATGTATTACTAATGATAAGCAAAGAGAAAGAAAGGAAAAAAGGAAGGAAAGTAGGAAGGAAGGAAGGAAGGAAGGACTGAGGAAGGAAGGACTAAGGAAGGATGGACTGAGGAAGGAAGGAAGAGTCGAAGGATAAAATGACAAACGCAGAAACGATGTTTTTGTTGAAATTTAGGTGCATATTTTTCTTTTTCTATTTTTAGTTTGTTTAATTTAATATCAGGCAGTTAATCTAATTCTATTGCCTTCGCACTGTTTACGAGATTGAATCATTTGTTTATGTTTTGGCGAGGACTTTGACGATAGTGCAGAGTCACAGTTAGTACAAATTCTTTGGCAAAAGTTTTCATACAGTGCGAAATTGAAAAGAAAACTTCGCTCCAAGTGTTTAACTGCTCGAAAGGTCTGGCAGCCTCAAAATATGATCACAACCCTAGTCTAAGAACTCATCAAACTCAGTTTCATTACATTGCACCAATGTGAATGATTTGCCGGAAAAAAGAAGAGGAGAAGCGTTTCTGGATGCAAGCCAGCATTTTTATGTCGCGTTTGTTGGAGATATTAATCTTATTCAAACACAGGTGGCATGAGGTTAATGGATGGGACTGAGTCTTCCTCACTGTTAACCAAAACAAAAACCCTCTGAAGTCTAGAAATGGCTGATACGGATAAAATATTTTGGCTAGTTTCTCTTTAAATATCCGTCCAGGCTTTGCAGAATGGAAAACCGTAACTTTAAATAGTGGGTTAAGTAATATTTCTTCATTTGGATTTTCTTTCTTATTTGCTTATGGATAATGCGTAGAAGATAAATATGGCGAACACTAAGTTGAAATTTTTAATAAATAGTATGTACTTGTTAGAATAATGATTATTGTCACTTAAACTGTATTCTTTTCTTTAATTACTATACTAGTCCAATTTTTATTATTGTGCAGATAGTTCAATTTTTATCGTGTAAAAACTACTTTCCCCTCTAGATATTCAATGAACAGTCATCAATCTTCGGGTACCTAGCATACGTTCAGGACTCACAATAACGCAATCAGACAATCACAAAATCAAGGGCAAACAAGAAAGCGCGCGCTCCAGGCTCAATGCAATCTTCCTTGCATGGTCTTGCATATACACATACAAACAAGACGTAAAGCTTCTGAAAATGGAAAAGAAAAACAGCCAAGATTGTAACCTGCTGAGTGAGAGACGATTTTCAGGATATTTTTGGAATATTTATGTCTTGACGGGTAAATCTTTTAAGCCTATAGCGTTGCCTAGGAGATATCTGTAATAATATAGCCAATTCCCTAAAACACATTCACTAGTTTGCAGAACATCGAATGTATTTACAAATGCTTTTTTGTGGCTGTTTTATTAAGTATCCGCGTAAAGTTTGCTCATGGGACGTGTTAATCCACAAATCTTTCATGCTTCCATATTTAGGCGAGAGTTGCAATGTGCAGACTGATCTGTTATGATAAGATTTGAGGCATAAAGTGAAAATGATCATCCTTAATCAGTAAAGTCAAGATGAATTAATTTAACAGTTCTAACTTGTTCCTTTAAATTTCGGGGGAATTGTATATACACAGGCATATTTCAATATATTATCGTACACAAGCATAAAATGAACACTTTGGATTTCATTATTCGTTTGCCCTTGCTTAAAAAAACATCGAAAGATCCACTTTATATTATATTAAGCATTATTCCAGCTGCATTAAGATAGCAAAAAGTCGCTTGTGTTGGGATATTAACAACAGGTTTGAACACGGAAATGGCTTTTGCACAATGAGAAGTGAGACTAAGGGAGATGGACTCCTTATAAACACGTTAAGTATCACGAATGAATATACAGCTAACTTCGTGCCCACCTCAATTCTCCAAATCTCAAATCCAGGAGTTTTTCCAGCATTTTCAAATGCTTCATCTACGACCATCTTTAAAAGCAGCAGCTTTCAGTTCAGTGGAGAGTTCAATTCCGGTTCACGCTCAAGCGATGCCAAAGTGATACCAAAGTACTGCGTTTGTAGGTCCAGTCAGCAGGTCGCCGAGATTAGAGTCTTTGCTAAACACGAATCCGCTTGCTTCCAGCAGCTAATGTTTAAAGATTATCATTACTTCAATACATAAAAACAATAATTTGAATATGAGACATGTACCAGTCTACGCTGCCAAGCGCTTGGAGAGAATTTCGCTTTAACGGTGACGTCAGCTTTTCGTTTCAAATTCAAATTGGTTTTAAAATATAATAGCAACTTGTTGCTAATCGAAAGTTTGGAATTATAATATTTAAAATCATTTTTATTTAAGGAAATTACTATACTTAACCATTACTAAACTTTTGAAAAGCGCAAGGAGATTTTCTTTTGAATTTTTCAACGGTTGCCACATTTTTATTCGAGAGCACAACTAAAAAAGCTATGTTTTTTATAAAACAAATATTATTAAATATTCATTTTCAATTCGCGTTTTGCGACTAAACGAGAAGGATTTGTTGGCATCGTCATTAACACTCTCTAACTTATTGACACTTTTTTCCAATGAATTTTTAAACAACACTGTTGAAAAAGTATCAATGTCCTTTAAAGTGGCTTTGAATTTCACTTAAAAGTGCGCAGCGTGGGAAAAAAGGCTTTACCGGAACTGCATGCAAGTAGAGAACTATTATTTATCGAGAATTCTGAAAAGGAGTAAAAAATCTTTAATTCGAACCTTGATCAGGTAGTGACATTTATGTAAAAAGGCTTCCAATTGGTTTGTGCCAACTTGTCAATAAAAACAGGTACAAAAATATACGTTCTCGAAAAAGCAGCTTCACAACACTCACCAATCTAGTAATTTATTTATTTATTTATTTATTTATTTATTTATTTATTTATTTATTATCATTAAGCTGAACAAAACTACAGAGGCCAGAAATGCATATAGGTAATTCAGATCGTATGGTTTGGTCTTGCTAGATGATTGTAGGGTGATATTTTTAGTTTGAAAATTACTACTACTTTGCAGCATCCGATTAGTAATCGAGCTGTCTGGAAAAGTCAAAGGGTTAGGGTGTGACGAGCGCCTAGAGTACGAGCATTTCCCTGAATAATACAAGAACTCAATTGCTATTCGGTTGTCGAAAATATAAAATGGCATTCAATTTATATTTGTGTCACTTGGATATTAAATATTTTCCTAGTGTTACGGTATTTATATTTAGAACAATGTATGGGCTTTCTGGAATATATATATAAATGATCAATCTTTCATTAGAACTCTGGAATACTCTATGAGGGATTTGCATTTTATTTTCACTGTTAACGCGCACGCAAGCTTGTTGAATGTATTCAACTTGCGCACTGAAATAACACACATAAATATTAAATACCCCCCAAAATTAAAGACTTTGTTGGTAATTATAAGCCCTATATAAGCCCAATGTTAAAACATTGGACTCTTTGCGCAATGTGTTTAGACTATGCGTGACAGAATTTGAGGCAAAATGTGCAGTGCGCAGGTGCGTGACACTTGACAAATGCATACGCTTCAGTTCTTTTTCTTATGCTTTTATTTTTACTTGCACACGTATTAAGAAACAAGTGAGTTCGAATCCTAAAACTAAAGACAGATGAAGCGCTAACAAATAACGACACTTTTTGACAATGACAAAAATATACTTAAGGGGGTAGGATACATTCACGCCAAGAGAAAAATCCATAAAACTTAAGGAAATATGAGTCGCCATATTAATTTTTTTAGCAGTGGCCTGCAGTTAATGGTGATAATACCTATAATACCGTCAAAACTCTTTGATATTGAATTATAATTAGTACACGTAAATTCTGCTATTTTAGCTGAATGGTCCTGAGGGACTAGTACGTCTCTATGGCAACAGAACCCGTTGATGCTGATTGGATCGCCATTTCTATCATCCTACTTGTCAAACTTCGCTTTGAATTGCGCCTTAATTTACCTTAAATATATTTGTATTTATGGAGAAGCTGCACTCTCAGTGCAATAATATTGTTGCGGAGAAATAAATAATTACAAAAAAAATGAACACAAGTCATGTGATCAAGAAAATAAAAGGAAGTGTCTCGAAATAAAAAAAAAACGTAAAATAGGCCTACTTCCGGCGATGATATCGTACACTGTATGTATGTAATATTTTTCGATACAGCAGTGGATAATGACAAAAAGAGAAAATCTTTAAAAAAAAAAAAAAAAAAAAAAAATCAAGTAAAATTTAATGATTTCCCGTGAGTCTATTCGGTCGTCACTCACTGACGTGGCGTCCGTCACCAGGCTTTCCCGGCTACAAGCGGCTGCAAGACGTCCGCCATCTTTGAATTTTGGAGTTTGTGTTGAAAATCCGTGAAAATCGCGGATACTATCTTCCCATCACGGATTCTTTCTAGGATTTATGATGACTTTAAGACATCTTGGACCTCTTTTGCTTATCATTTTAGCATTCCAATGTATAAAGGCCGACGAACATAACCATATTGTAAGTAGGGTATTTCATTTATTTTTGACTACTGTTATGGAAATCGATCACTTGTGTGTTTTTGTTCGCTCACCTTTTTTGTATTAAATGATAATATTATACTACGATTTTACCCTCATAAATTCAGGATATCTACCTAAAGATTTAAAATATATTTAGAAAATCTTTTTAAATTTTAGGAAGCCCATGTAATGGGAGTTTTTTGGGAGGTTTATAACAACCAAATAGCTCATTATAATTAACCACGAAAATTTCCACGTTGGCAGTTATTGATTTACTATATTGACTTCAAATTTTCCAGCAATACCTCTATTTGGAGGAAGGACTCTTACTTAGCACTCTAGATCTAGTTGACAGGAAAAATTGTAGATTTTCTTGTCTGTTAAATTATATAATTGTACTAATCATAATGTTGTAGGGATTGTTTTGCGATTCCAATCACCGGCAATGATCGTGAAATCACACGATCAAAAATCTATAAAATCCTGTTTTTTCATTAAAATATATACAAAAGATAAACCAATGGTGAAAAATCAACCACCAGATATTTATTTTTTATTTATGTTTAAAAATATTTCCCCACATTGATATTTATTAATTGATAGGAATTTTTTTATCACTCTGATGGTCAATTTTTGCAAGTTTTTGAATAATATTCAAACTACAGTAACGTCAATGCAACATATTTTCATTTATTTTTTTTGCATTTAATAAAAAAAGTACACTTGATAGAATCTGTACCAGACATATCCTTCCCGATAAAAGTTCTCAAACTTCAGCCACTCATAATTATATAGCTTAGTTTTGTAGATCCTTTTTTTGTTATTCTACAGTATTTTAATATTCATGCATAGCATTTCATCTATTTTTCTATCACAAATCAACAAAAACCAAAACTCTATTCATTAGAATTTGTTTTGAATAATTTATATAAATTTTGTTTTATGCCACTTGAATGGTGTAGTCTATCTTTAATTAAGATTTTAAAGATTGTATTTTGTCTAAAAAAATATCCTTGTATGAAAATGCTTTCTTTTAACCAGCTGGAAGTGTATCAACTACTATAATAGGAGCACTTCCCACTGGTTGGTTAATGAAGTAATAATATTACAGTAAATCAGACCAGATAATTGAGAACGAAACCCATCTTCATAATTTGCTATCTAGTTTTTTAATGGATTCCAACCTATTGACGAAAACTGAGTCTACTTGTAGATAGGCTGTAACTATTGCATAGTACTTCATACATCTGTTTTATGCCGTCGAAGTGTAGGACATTGTAGATAAAATAATTGTCATCTCATTTGAGTAGAGTTTATTAGGTGTCTACCTTGATTCAAGGGTTTTTCTCCAGGTTCTTCAGTAGTGTCCCTTTATCCTCAAAATCCAACATGCAAAATTCCAATTTGATCCATGAGTTAGCCATGCCATAATTAACATTGATAAGCCCAGAGGCTGTTTATAACTACTAGGTTCTAGTTGGGACTGTTTGAGTGTGTCAAATACAATGAGTGACTAAGAAGGAAGCTTCAACATTGTGTAAAAAAGTTTGGAACTTTACTGATGTTTTGGACATTTGTTAGAGTAAAAGGAGGTTGTTAAGTTCAGGGTTCAAAAGATTTTCAACATTTTTCAAAATAATTATCTTTTGATATGTGTTAATCAAAGTCATTCTCATAGACTTTTAATATATATTTTTAGTACAAAGATGCAGAAGAAGTGGTCCTATGGATGAACACTGTTGGCCCATACCATAACAGACAAGAGACGTACAATTTCTATTCCTTACCCTTCTGCCGAGGAGAGAAGAAAACCATTAGCCATTACCATGAAACCCTTGGAGAAAACATACAGGGTGTTGAATTAGAATTCAGTGGATTAGATATATCATATAAAGGTAATCATAGCAAAAAAGCTGCAATCGAACCTGTATGGGTCACCTTTCTCAGTCTGCTGACTATAATATAGCTTTTAGTCTCCCATTGGGGTGTTAAATGTATGAAGGTTAAGTTGTGTTATCCTTGCCTTCAGGGGTTTTTGCATCCCGCAGATTTTCTCTTGATTGTTTGAGAGAATGTGAAAGAAATATTCAGATGTACTGCCATGTTATATTTTTTGCAAATTTTTGGATATTTGTTCGTTATCTACAATGGAGTCTCACTCCCATTATCTTGAACTTCCTAAGCATCAGGGAAAAGGTTTACGGGAGTAAAATATTGTAGTGCAAGTCCATGGGATGCATCTTCAAATTCAAGATAATGGGAAGTTTGGGATAACATGGAATGTTTGAGATAACAGGACTTCACTTTATTTCAATCTCACTTGATTCATAATGTAATAGCAGTAGAGCATCTTTGAAAATTTTCATAAGTGCAAGAGATAACAATTGTGGTGGTATATGTGGTATAAATGTCTTGTCTATAATTTCAGTGAATGTTCCCCCAACCAAGTACTGTGAGCTTATACTAACACAAGACAAGTATGAAGCCCTTGTGTATGCTGTTCGCAACCATTATTGGTACCAAATGTACATAGGTAAGAATATACTGTAATATATGAGCTGAGCTAAGGGTATTTCTGGTTTCAGCTTTTCCTACCTTCTCTTAAACCATCCCTAACTAGTTCAAACTGGTTATAGCTGTGCTCCAGGGTCATACATGGACTGTTTAGTGGCTGCCAGAGATGTCTTGTAATTGCTTTCAGTTCAACCCCATTAAGCTGTGCCACTGCTGTATTTGTGGTGGTAATAAGGAATAACCTTAGTTGGATATCATATATATAAATATTTCAAGTACGACAGTGGCAAAGCTTATTTTATATGAGTTGATCTGATAGCATCATCACCTTCAGCACATCAGCCCCTGTTTTCTTATGATTTGAAAAGTTCAAGTTCAATCGGTTGCCATGATTACCATAAAATATAGAAATTTTATTGAAGACTTTTACTGTTCAGAATGATATAATATTTCTGGATGTTTCTGAATGAAAATTTATTTCTGTTTTTCRTTGTTTCAGATGATCTTCCTCTTTGGGGTAAGTACTTGTGTTATTGATGCAGCTGCTTCTGATATATAATGTAAATGTAACTTGACCAACAAGTGCTTACATCCCTTAGTGTTTTGTGTGGATTGATTTGGAAAGATCTCCTAACATACTTGATGTTTATTATTGCCTCTTCAATATGCATCAAAAATATTTTTAGAAAATTAGTATATTTTAAGTATATTATATGTTATAAGTATATTATAAGTATTTTTATTGCTGGATTTTAATTAGTTGATAAAAGTCTTTGAATCTCTTTGACAAACACTGAACACCGTTGAAAACTCGGGATTCAGCCGATGAACATTTTGCATGAGAAGGAAATGGCATCTACATAAATGAATCAAGAAAATGGCCAGTCCCCAGTTATGATGACTGGCCAAATCAGTCTTAACTCAGTCATACCTTGTTTTTAGCCTAACATTACTGGTGAAAGTGACTGGCAGGGCAAAGATTAAACGGAAAAAGCTCCAATTCCGGCCTGACATTGTCTAATGACAAGCTGTCTGTTAAGCCCTGTTTCTGTATGTCAACTGAATATACATACTAATTTGACCATAGAGGGTACAAGGACTGGGCTTTGATTTTTATTTATTTCTGTTCTTTGTTTAAAGGAATTGTGGGTGAGATTGGAGAGAATGGTGAAGAATATTATGTGTGGACACACAAGAAACTGGAGATTGGTCACAATGGAAATAAGATAGTGGATGTCAACTTGACCAGTGAATCAAAAGTCAAATTAACCCCTAATGCCAAGATAGTATTCACCTATGAGGTAAAGTTTACCCATGGAACTTATCTGCTATTTTTCTATTTCAGATTGCATATACTTTCCTCAAGTATTACTTTGCTTATACTAATGCAGGGCTTAAAATAATGGTCAGTAAAACGCAGGTCATGATGACGGGCAAAATTAGTTTTGTGTACCTCTGTGATACCTCCTTTATGGCTCAATGTTACTGGTCAAAATGGCAAAGATTTGACCAGACACATTCCAATTCTGGATGAATATTGCCCAATTGCCAGCCATTATTTTAAGCCCTGTAATGCTGAGACTGATCAATCTTTCCTTTCATTATTGACATATAATAAATTACATAGTGTCTGTTGACATAGTACTTCAACATGTTTTTTTTTTTCAATCATCCAGGTCAGATGGAAGGAGTCAAACATTGAATTTTCCAAGCGATATGAAAAGTACCTTGATCCCAGCTTCTTCCAACATAGGGTAAGAAACCCTTTGATTTTCCTATATTCTTAATTATGCCAACATTGAAAAATCTACAGAGCCTTGCAATGTAGTTCAGGTGATTCATTTCTCATCAGTCAAATACGTCACATAACCCTTCAGGGTTGTTAGTGACCTGGGAAAATCAGGGAAATCTAGATCAGAAACATTTGATTAAGGAAAAATGGACCAAAAGTCAGGGTATTTTTGAGACTGTGCAAATACAAAAAAACCTTTTCAGGAATTTGAGTTTCTTTCCTGGGGAATTCTGCTAAAGAGGCTGTAGAATGGTATATATCCTTTCCTTTTTTGGCTTGGGGTGCCTTTAAAATCAGTAAGAAATGTGGTTTAACCAGTATTGTATCTTACATAGATCTATTTGCAGTGTATCTTTGACAACTGTAAAATTCAAAGAAAGTTACTTAACATGTATGTATTATTGTATGACTGTTTTTGATAATGTGTATTTGTTATAGATCCATTGGTTTTCCATCTTTAACTCCTTCATGATGGTAATCTTCCTGGTGGGTCTGGTCAGTATGATTCTGATGCGAACCTTGAGGAAGGACTACGCGAGATACAGCAAGGATGATGACCTTGATGATATGGTAAGCAATATAAACAACCATCTGTTCCTAAACTGCATTGACTCCCATCAAAAAACATCCAAAAACAAGGAAAACGTTTGAAAGAAAAATGGTTTCAAGCAAGCCTCTATGCCAGAGCAATTCATCAATCTATGTGTCTGTTCTCTTATTATTCATAGTTGTCAGCCACTCAGATTGCGAGATTACACTTTGTTATGATAAAAAATATGCTATCTCTTTTGTTTTGGTCATATTGTTTTCTGATGGGAATCAAGATTAGAGTTTTCAGTTATCTGAATTAAAAATGGCAACTCTCTCTAACTTATCCTGAGTGCTGTCCATCTTCTTGACTGTGTCCTGTTTGTATTTTCAGGAGAGAGATCTTGGTGATGAATATGGGTGGAAACAAGTCCATGGTGATGTATTCAGGCCTGCATCACATCGTCTTTTATTCTCCAGTCTTATTGGAACTGGCTACCATCTGTGTTGTGTTGCCTTTCTTGTGGTGCTTTTCACCATTATGGGTGACCTCTACACAGGGTGAGCTTATCTCCTTTCATTCTAATTCTAACAATCATGCTTATCAATAAGCAATTGGATTTCTTGTGTTATTTTCATAAAAACATCATAATAGATTGCCATCATTGTTGAACTCTTATTATAACAGTCCTGACTCTGTGTCATGAAAGCTTGCTTCTGATTTCTGGTCTTTGTCTTTCAGAATAAATATTAGTGTGATTACTAATGCATGTATATTTATATAATCTATTTTAGGCGTGGCTCCATCCTCAGTGCAGCCATCTTTGTTTATGCTGCCTGTGCACCTTTAAATGGGTACTTTGGAGCAGGCTTATATTCAAGACAAGGAGGTATTAACCTTATCTGACCCATTTTACATATTGAACTGTTGATAGCTGCTGTTAGAGTGCTTTCCATAGAGCATATGAAATATTTTCCTCAAACTCAAAATATTTTTACTCCAACTTACTTGGCAACATTTTTCTGACTGCTAGGGAGACAGTGGATAAGACAGCTGGTGGTTGGTGCACTGCTGTTCCCTAGTTTAGTGTGCTGCACAGCCTTCGTGATCAACTTTATTGCCATTTACTACCATGCATCAAGAGCTATTCCATTTGGAACAATGGTAAGTACATGTAGGTCACTGAAATTGTCTGCCCTTGGCAAGAGGGTCTCATAGACTTAGATTTATTGTCTGCATGAGTTTGGAACTATATTAACCTATATATTGGACATTAGTCTTTCATCCTTCCTTTATTCTGTTTTTCTTCCCTTTTACTCTGATGAAAGATAAATGTACAACATTTTAGTACAGTTCTGAACCACTTTACAGTGTCCCTACTTATTCACCAACTTGAAGTTGTGGACTAGCACCTTAATTTGCTTTGCTTTGTTAAAGATTTTGCTAAACTAAGCCTATGTTGAGGATTTACCATTTACCATTGCTGTTATTAATTGTGGACATTGTATATTTCTTTAGGTTGCTGTGGCGTGCATTGTAATGTTTGTAATTTTACCATTGAACTTGGTTGGTACTGTCCTGGGCAGAAACTTAGCCGGTGCACCCGATGCTCCATGCCGCGTTAACACTGTCCCTCGGCCTATCCCAGAGAAGAAATGGTGAGTCACTATCCTAGCCTTGCATTAACAAAATGCTACTCAAGGTCTACATGTGTTTCTAAAGGAATTTTTCTGCTCAATCATCTAGATGCATGTTGTTTCCTGCATCACCATCTGTTCTTGTACACTACACACTTATTTCTTCTGTTTGTAATATGTACCATCATAAGGATTCAATGAAGGATATTTTATCATTTCTTTTTTTATTTCTACATCAGGTTTATGGAGCCAGCAATGATTGTATGTTTGGGTGGAGTACTGCCATTTGGCTCCATATTTATTGAAATGTAAGTAGCCCCAAAGAGTTTATTGGTACAAACAGCAGAAGCTTGATGAGCAATCTGTCTTTCCTATTATTTTTTTGACACAAACACTTTCAAATGAGCTATCTCATGAATGTAATCTGATGATTTTGCTTCACAGTGGCCAGCTTTTGTTATTTTCTGACTACCAACAAAAAAAAAAAAAAAAAAAGAAGAAGGACCAAAAAAGAACCACACATGAAAATGATTCTAATGCCTTTTTTCCTGCCGTTTTTTCCCATCTAGGTATTTCATCTTCACATCCTTTTGGGCCTACAAGATCTACTATGTATTTGGCTTCATGTTCTTAGTATTCCTTATTCTTCTTGCTGTTACTGTTTGTGTCACCATTGTCTGTACCTATTTCTTACTCAATGCTGAAGACTACAGATGGTAAGCAATAATGCTGTTTTGAAGGATTTTAGGGGAATCAAAAATATATGCCATCCCATGTTAATATTGTGAGACCTAATTACTCTTTGGTTGTTATCTAGGCAATGGACTGCATTCCTTTCATCGGCATCCACAGCAGGATATGTCTACATGTATTCATTTTACTATTTCTTTTTTAAGACAAAGTAAGTTTATTTAAACAATAGTAGCTGATATATATTGAACCTTTTACTAAAGTGCTATCTTTTGTATTTTGTAGAATGTATGGACTCTTTCAAACTACCTTCTATTTTGGCTACATGGCTCTCTTCAGCATAGGTCTTGGGATTATGTGTGGTGAGTATCATAATGTAGTGTATGCCTGAGAAATTAATAAAGATATAAAAGAAGTGGGAATTAATAATGGATTCCACAGAGTGGTTATTCTTCCACTGGATTTCAGTTGGAATTTTTAAAAAAAGTTGATTTTTGAGGAGGGAGGAAAACCGGAGAATCTGGAGAAAAACCCCTAAAACACAGGAGAGAACAAACAAACAATTCTACTCACATACTACACAGGAGAGAACCAACAAACAACTCTACTCACATACTACACAGGAGAGAACCAACAAACAACTCTACTCACGTACTACACAGGAGAGAACCAACAAACAACTCTACTCACATACTACACATGAGAGAACCAACAAACAACTCTACATACGACAATTCTGAGAATCATCCCAGTTAGCCTTGATGAGAGGTGAGCACTTTCACCTCTACGTTACCTGTGCTTCTCTCATGGAGTTTACCACAGATTGGCTTGATTGTAACATTGTCTCTATCTCATGCCTGTATAGGATAATTTTGATATCAATCATCATGTCTGGAAATCAAACTATCACTTACTCATTTCTATCCCTATTCCAGGTACCATGGGCTACGCTGGTGCCAGTATTTTTGTCAGGAAAATCTACTCCACCGTCAAAATTGACTAAATACATTCACAATTACCCTGACTGGTGACTTCAGATGCATTGATGATATCCAATAAATATAAGAACTCTGTATAGATATGGTATTACACACACATCTTGCCATGAACTGAGAAGGAAAAATGGATACCAGAACACTGTTTGACATCTCTGGAAAATTTAATCCATATAAATAAAATATTAGTGTAAATTTGATAATCAAAGATATCTATAAAGTCAGTACCATAGTTAAGTCAGGCATCAGCAGTTTGCTAATATGGTATCCACGGGAATGAAGATGAATCCATGTCATGTAATGTAAAAAATCTGGGCCAGAATGTTTTTCTCAATGTCAGTGAATTTATCTCTTAAAAGAAAAATAAAATAAGAAAAATAAGTCACTAGATAGCAGGCGTGTGCATGTATTTAGTTAATTTTAATCTTAATGTTGGAACTGTTTTTTGTCTTATAATGAGGTTCTTTGAAGAAAAATACCTGTAAAGAGGCTAACTGCTTTAATTGTACAGAGAGTTTCCGAGGAAACCAAGTAAATAGTTCTCACTTTATTTAAGGAAGTAGACAATGTATGACTTGACTTCACAAAATGTATTGTGCTAAAGCTTGAGAAGTAGCAAGTTGAAATTCATTTGAAAGTACTTTGTGCCTGTAACACTTCTTAAAGTGGATTTCGTTTGACTGTAAAATAGAACAGTAATGGTAAGAAATCAGCCTTTTCATAGTTTAAGAATCGATTCTACTGCACATGCGATTTTATCCCGAATTTCTCACCTTTTGTCTAAACCTTCTTTTGTTCTTAATTAAACAAAAGGTGCGAAATTCGAGATAAAATGGAATGCACAGTGGAATCGATTCTTAAACTATGAAAAGGCTTATTCGCAACCTCCTTTGTACCATTTAGATAAGTTTCATGAGAATAACTGCTGTATGAGATTATTGCTTATCTTAGCTTAACCAAAATGCTAATCATGGCATAGTGCCTGATTTTCACAGTCACTTCAAGTCTGCTCTGTAGAGGCTTTGCACCATCATGTGATGGCAGCCATGACAGGAGGCAGGAACAACTGAATCTGAGAATTCGAAAAGAATAGACTATTTTTGTGCCTCCTGTCATGGCTGCCACCATCCGATGATAAAAAGCCTCAAAAAATGGTCTTAATTTAATAAACTTAATTTGTGCATACATCTATCTCACATCAACAAAGCAAGACCAATAAGCACATGATTAAAGACACCAAGACTGCACTCTATTTACCATAAATAAAATGTTAGACTTTATTGGTCTTTTTGATATTATTATTGATAATTTTCTTGGATATTGGTTGCTCTTGCTATAGTTCTTACCTAGAAAACCCTGAAATATAGTTGCATTATTAGTGACTACAGTAGAGTGCAAACAGTTAATCCGTGAAACACTAATTACTAAATAGTACAAAATAGTGCTAATTAAACAATRGAAAACAATGGAATTTGCATGTAATTGTGCTATTTAGTATTACCAAAGTTCCACGGTTGTATTGTTTGCACTCTAACAGTCAAAGTACAACAAGAAAATAATGCAATTATTGGTGATTTTTTCACACGAAGGAAAACCATGTTTGCATTTATATGCTTTGATTGAGATAACAGTCACGACAGGGAAATCAGCCAATACACTGTGGCAATCAGAGTAGTTTTTAATTTAATCATGAATGAATAAAGTTGAGAATAAAATTGTGAACTGTCATGTGCAGGTGCTGTTTGATCAAGGTGGAATGAAGGGCGTTACACACCTACCCCTCTTGATATTGCATTAACATTGTTGATCGAACTGAAGACGGGACACACACATCCCTCTCTTGATATTGTATTTACAATGCTGTTTTTCTACAGTACAGGGACTGAAAAGGGGTTGTACATCAGCATTATATTTATAGACACGCTACCCTAAAAAAAAACTTAAGAATGCAATTTGACATTCTCTTGAAAGTGGTACTGTAAGCATTATTGTCATTGCAATCATCAATCATTATCTTGATCTTGAATGTCACTTTTATGTGACATCAATCAAGTTTCCTTAAAAAAGCTGAAATTCAGGCTTAAAAAATCCCCGTATATTTACTGCCACAAGGTAACAGAGCTTGGGCTACCTGTGCACCAGTGGGCTTCCTGTGGTTTTTGTCATTCCCTCCAAGATGGAGGTCTTAGTAGGAACTTATGATCCACTTCTTCTTGGATTTCAACTCGTTCACGACAACGAAAACGAAAAAGTAAGCTATAAATTATAAGGTTTGACCGAAAGGCTTGCAATTCATAAATTTTTATGGCTTTCTGTCCCGTCTTTGGTAGAATTATCGGTTCGAGCCCAAGTTTGTGGACAAGGGCCATGCTGGATGTGTGAAGAGTGTTGCGTGTGGTGGCGGTGGAGATTCTCTACTCGCATCTGGATCCACAGATGAAACTATCAGGTACTTAGAAATATCAATTCATTCAGGCTTACAACACTTTGTGAATGAATCAAGAGAAAATAACTCACACGACTTCGATAATCATTGTAAAATTATGTGTCAATAAACATGTCACATGGCTTCTAATATAATTATAAAATAAGTACACGAACAGTACTTTACCAAACGTAAGTGACTTTTGCTATGTTAGGCTCTTATATATACTTAGAATTAGAAAATGTGGTATACATATGGTTTAATTCATGTATGTAGCTTATATGGACTCTTTCAGTTCAAACATTTATATTCTTTCACATTGACATTGACATTCTCTTGTCTTGTCTTGTCTTGTCTTGTCTTGTCTTGTCTTGTCTTCTCTTCTCTTCTCTTCTTATTTATTTGAACAAATAAATTTGTACAATTTTGTTACTTTCCATTTAACCTCTGATATTGTTTTTAGGTTATATAACTTAAAAGACCACAAGGATCTTGGCTCCTTACACCAACACGAAGGTATAATTTTGCTATTAGATAATACTATTCAATTGAGTGCTGTATGTTTTGTGGCATGTCTGTAATGTAGCTGTTAGCTACGTCCATAGACCACAGTACTAAATGAAGGTTAATGTCTTATTTGTATAATGAAAATGTTGTGTTTATGGATTTCAGGTTCAGTGACTTGTTTAACATTCTGCGGCARTACTCATATGTTGAGTGCAAGTGAGGATAAAACCATCTGTGTGTGGAACTGTAAGACATGGGAATGTTTAAAAGTGCTGAAAGGACATCAGTAAGTCAG